CCAGTCATACTCCAGCCTTCGGCTGTAGCCCAGGCCCAGAGCTGGCTGCGAGCAGGAAGCCTTGACCCCTCCAGATGTGCCACCAGCACACTGCCATGAGCGCCCTCCCCAGGGCACTGTCTTCCTTTGCCCTTCAGCTGAGGATGATTTGAGGGGAAAAGCACTAGAGCACTCTAACGATGAAACTAACCCCCCCCCCCGAGAGAACCAGCAGTAGGCCTTGACAAGGATGGGGCCTTGACAAGGATGGGGCAACTGGCAATCCACTTGGCAAGGGGCTCCAGCTTTTGGATGGCTATTTGGTCATTTGTGTTTAGAGTCTCAAAGGCGTTCATCTGACCAGGCATGGTTGCATGTGGCAGGTTGAGGCCACATGAAAGGCCCTGACCGGTTCCCAGTCCGCCCCAAAAAGCTGGGCACAGCGGCACACTCTGCAGTCCCAGCTAATCAGGAGGCTGAGGCAGGAAGACTGCAACACAGGAGACATCGACTAAGTGCATCTCTTCCAGGACTCTCTTCTAAGGAAGTGATCAGGGACTTAGACGAAGATGTCTATGCAAGGTTGATCATTTACAGCATTCTTAGGGAGGGGAAAAAGGAAGCTTTTTCACAGTGGGGTTGCTGCCAGAACACAGGTGTCGGGAAAAAAAGAGAAACAACCTAACTGGTCCCTTGTGGGGAGACAGCTATGATATATCCGTGTAATAATACGCTCTGCAATAACAAGAGTAATGCTTAGAAATCTATTGACAGGGGCCCAGCAGGTGGCGTGGTGGTTAAGGCACTGGACTCCCACTTAGCTGACCGCAGTTTGGGTCCTGGACTTGGCGGCTTGCTTTCTCACTTTCTCTCTATAGTGAGCTCATGTGCCCTATAGCAGGTTAAATAATAATAATAATAATAAATAAAGTAAAGTAATTGTTAAAAAATCTGTTACCACACAAGAAAACAGAACCACAGGAAATAGTGCAATCATTACAGTAATTGTATATGGGCATGGGTGTAACTAGTTTCAAGTTAGTGAGACACTATTTAGAAGATCCTTTATTATGAAGATGATATAAACTTACTGAAGATTCATGATATGATATTAATTGGAAACGAAACATAATATAAAATAATAGATAACTTAGTGGCAACCTTAAAAATTAAAGAATGCTGAAAAATTCAGACTTATGTTAGGATGGTGGTATTTCCTCCAAAATGTATATTACTATTGTTAGTTTGGGTTTGTTTGTATGTATTATAGGAACAAGTAAAACGAAACTCTCCCCGGGAGCTGTGCACTAAATGAGGGGTTTTTGAAACTGTCTCTGAGCAGAAGGCCTTTTTGGGACTGCCCCCATGAGGCAAGGCGGAGCATCTCAGATGACAGTGGGAGTGACTCTCCAAGAAGCTGGAGGGGATGCTTGGTGTGGTGGCTGCTGGGTGAGTCTCCGGAGACCCCAGCCAGTGTTCACCGCCCTGACCCGCAACTACCTAGGCAAAGTCCTGGTGTCT